GTTTAAAATAGTGTTTCTTTTTCTTTTCTTTTCTTTTTTTTTTTTGGAAATGTACAAAATATCTATCACTACTGATAGGAGGTTAATATTTCTGTGTAGAAATGAAAATTGGTTTGTTTTTAGTATTTAGTGTAGATGTACACATTCCAGCAAATGTATTTGCGACTATTATGTGGTCAATGCTTTGTGATATAAATGTACTTTTTCAATGTATACTTTCACTTTTAAAATGCCTGTTTTGTGCTTTACAATAAATGATATGAAACCTCCTGTGTCGGTAAGTTGGATATCTGGGTATTTAAAGGATTCATAATTTCTTAGCAATGATAAATTAAGATACATATACACAAATATATAAGCTTTCCCCATGAAATACTGAGTTTTAAGCACTGGCATGTTTTTTCCCCTTTGCAGTATAGTAATAGATTGAAGGATCTTTTTCATTTATTGTATTTGGCTGTTTCAGTACAAGTAATCCTGATATCTTCATTTTTTTTCCTTCTGTTTGATTAAAAACTGCATGTGTATACAATGATCTTTTGGCATACTTCCATTGCATTAACAGTGAAATTTCCTTTCATATATGACCACTGTTTCAGACCTGTACTGCTGCTATAACAGTTAACCTTTCTGTTCTTAATTTGATAATTAATTGATTTCCAATACTGTTTCAGCATAACTAATTTTAAACAGTTTTCAGATAGTAAAATATGAGTAGTCTAATGAGAACAGTTTTTTCATGTAAAGGAAGTCTTTCAATGTATACAATATTAGCATGTTTCTTTTTAAATTCAGGGTAGAAAAGTGAATAATATGCAAAAAGTATATAGCTACAGCGCATCTGCCATTGAAACATTACTGGGGTATGGAAATGTTCAAATTTTTTTCTTTTTCTTTTTGCAGTATAGATAAGCTTTGTTTTGTAAATGCACAAGTCCAATTCATTGAATCAACTTAGTTTTTTTACGTACTTGAAATCATTTTATTACTCTATAGCACTCATGCTGAAGTTGTGGTATTTTGTTGAAATCCATTGTTTTACTCTTTGAATATTTGTTGGCTCTTTGCATATTAATATATTAGACTACATGCAAATACAGTCTGTCTTGCCATTGTCTGTTGAAGTGCAGGTTTGATCCAGCCAGTATAGAACTAGCTCTGTAGGGGTGAGGAGGACTGTGCTGTGTATCATCCTTGATTGTGTTCCTTCAAGGAGCATTGCACTGTAAGTACATCAGAATGACAAATTGATGAACTGCAACAGTATCTTTTTGTCAATGTTCCACATAATGTAAATGCCATACTTTGTGTGAATATTATGTTGGAATACAGTGCTGATATCTTGGAAAACCGTAACTGTTTAATTTAACATAGAATAATACATAGGTCTGTTCGTTTGTTTTAAGTGAGCTTAATGGGTAAGTATTTTTGATATGCTTTAGCTATAGCTAAAGAAAACTGATGTCAAAGTTGAATAGTATTACTCATTGGTGCTCCTAAAATATATTGTTTTTCCTTGTAAAATATGCATATCTTATATATTATTATGAAAGACTTGAAATGTATCAGACAGAAGTGGTTTGCAGTTTGCAAATATAAAGCAATGTAGCAGTTTTAACACCATTTCATAAATATAAGTTTTTCATTGGTGGGGAGCACCATTTGTTGTTCTCAATGTGCTATAAAGACAGATACTAAAAGATATAAATATTGAGATTACCTTTAGGGCAGAAAATAGCAGTACAATTCATTGTAGATATTTTGAAATGTTTTTGATTGTTTTATAGAACCTAGAGTGATGACTTCCCTTACCCTTATTTAGATATGGATATGTAGTCCTAGTTTGAGATTTAATGGTTAAGGAGTTAGTTACCTGTTTAAAGAGTAGGGTATTGACATGAACAAGTTCAGTATTTTGCATGATACTGTTTTATAGATGACTTTTTAGGAAAGTGGTGCATTTATTAATTAAACAATAGAAATAGTTCAGTTGGATTCGATTTCATAACTCACAAATTGGAGGCTGTTGATTTTGATTCATTTGAGGTTTAAAATCTTTATTAATTGCAAACAGTGCAATTATTTATACTTCACAGTGCCTTCCCAGACCTTCCACCTTAGGTTCTGCTGCAAAAAGCAACAGGTAAGCACAACCTAAGGACATATATAAATAAATACTTCAATACATTAATGTTGTCCCTGTGAGGTTTTTGTGGTTGTGTATTGAAAAGCAATCTGCTACTGCTTCCCCAAAATGTTATTTTGTTATTTATGCTACCATTTCAGTGGAAAGTCTGTTAAGTTGTTCAAACAACTGTTTACATTTCTGGGTAATGTTTTTTTTTATTTTAATTTTTATTAAAACAAGAAAAAAGAAATGATGAGTAGATTGCTGCCATAATTGAACTACATCTAGACTTCTTTTAATCTTTTTTTCCAAATATAGAGTAATTGTTAAAATTTAAAAAGGACAATTACATAGTTTTCAAGATACAGGAAATTTGGTCAGAAACTTCAACAGCCTTCACAATCTGTTTTTGATTGACAGGACATTTTCTTTGCTCTTCAGAGCTATGGAGTGTCAATTTTTTTCTTATTCTTGAACAATATATAGTAGATAGTAATTCAGTAAGGACATTATGGGTCAGTTTTATTATGACTTTTTAGACAGTTCAGTTTTCATAACATATATACTGAAGAAAAACTGTAAGGAATATTGGCAGTATGTTTTGATAAAAGGCATGTGCAACAGTGAAATGTTAACTATGTAGCAAATAACTTCATTGGTATAGCAACCAATATTTTTCTGATTTATAGTATTTTAATAACTGACACTGCATTTCGTGCTTTTTTTTTTTTTTTGCCAGTTTTAAAATGTTTTGTGTGTTCTTATAGATGATTTTTAACTGGTACAAATTTTGAGTTAAGATGAATGTGTTAGAGCAGCATCATGTCAGTTTTGTTTATTCAGTTTATAAAATGTGCTGATCCTTTTAAAACTCCTGCTTATCTGTACATCAAAGAAAAATATTCAAAAATACTGCCTTCATTTTCACACACAGTGCTGAAGATGCTGCAAGCACCAAATCATAGCTCATAAAATCAGGTCCTGAGATAGTTACCCATAAAGAGGAACCTTTGAGTGTATGCCATTGGTGAGCCGATGAGCATGGACCATAGAAGGGCTCAATGTAGAAGGTAAAATTGGCAAATCATAACTGAGAAATATGAAATGTATTCCCATACATATATGGTATAGGGTGTAATGTACCTGCTTTTGATCACTTTTCATTTTAAAGTGCTTTTCACTTGATCTTAAATGTTCCATGAACTGTTAAATTTTGTAAGGTATGTAGTTACTGCACCACATTTATACGTGTGTGTGTATGTGTTGTTTTAATAGTCAATGATAGGTATGTTAAGATTGATAATATAAAGTAGCTCTTTGAACCTTAAGAGCCTGTCAAGTTTTGGTTAGTTGTAGTTTGCATTTTTACAAAAGAAAATAGAGATGAATGCTAATAGATATTGGGGCATTGTTTCTATCTCATGAGAATTTTTTAATTCATTACCATAAGCCTTCACTGATAACTGCAAGCATTTTTTAAATGGCGCTAATCTTAATCTTGAAATAAGTGGAAAGCAGAAAAGGTGAGCCAGTTGATCTGAATGCAATGGATGTTAGGAGTGGTAGAAACAATGTTTGGTTTAGATTCATATTGAACTTACTTTATTTAGCACTTAAAAGTTGACAATGTGTTTTGTTTTTATTTTTTTTTCCTTTTTCTAAGATATTAGTGTGGTGATACTTAGAATTCTTGTGATTTGATGTTTCTTTTAGAAGAGAAATATACTTTAAATGGTTTTAATACTACAACTAGTGATTTAATACTACTTGTTTATAAACATTGTGAAATATATCCTTAAACAAATATCTTGGTAGTTAATTCATAAGGGTGGGTTTGGGTAGGTGTAGCAGACGGAGTACCTAGGAGGAAAATAGGAATGTATTCAGAAGTGATAAAATTGCATTTGTTTGAATACTCTGCTAGGAAAGCCGGTTTTACCTGAAGAGTTATCTGTTATCTAGATAAAGGATGTAGAAATTACTAGTCAGTAAGGATGTCTTTTATTTTCTGAAAATTCTGCCTCATTTTAAAATGCATTTTAAAAGTACCTAAAGATAATTTGGATGCTGAAAATAACCTTTTTTGTTTAGTCACTTAATTTTCTTGCCACAGTATAAACTGAGGGATTTTTTTAAATTGGTACTTTTAAGAAGCAAATAAATCCCAGGGTTTTATGTTCTTCATGATACCCCTAAACTCTGAAATGTATTTGCGCATATATATATATTTTTTCTTATGCATGCTCAATGCATTTTCGTCCTGAGAAAAGTGTTCTCTACAGAAACTACCCGTGTGTAAAAAGAAGATTGGCTTAAAATGGCTACTGTGATGGGAACAGTGTCTTAGGGAGATGCAGCTTGGACTTGAGGTAAATTGAATACTTTACAAACTGTGGTTTAGAGTTTGTTTTAATGACATTGTATGTAAAAGGGTATATGGTTACTGTAATTTTGTAATGAGTATGGTTTCCTCAATTAAAAAAATGTACTTTGATGAATATTATAATGGAGTTTTGTCTTTTTTTTAAAGTACTGAAAGACTTTTTTTGTAATACAGAAGTTACTTTATTACAGGTTTACATTGTAAAATAAAATTGTCTTCCAGAAAATTAAAATATAAAATAACTTGGGAATAGAACATGGTAGCTAATTATTTACAAACTGAATTTAAAGACCAGAATTTAAAGTTGAAAAATTGTGCCTTTCACCTAAGTCTGATAAGCCTCTTAGACCTTGAAATTTTTATGCTGAATTTTCTCCTGCATGAACTATTAGTACAAAGTTTCCTCATTAAAATATAACTTGCTCAGGGAAGGTCACTACATATAGCTTGAAATGTGTATTACACACATTTTTTTAAGTATGTGTTAAATCTTAGCATTCAGAACTCAGTGTAGGCAGTGGTTTCCATCAAGTTTTCTCTGGCAATTGTTAAAGTCTTCAGTTTTTTATTTTGTGTTTTTTCCTCCATGTTTCCCCTTTCCCGTAAAAGGAATGGCACCCTCTCCCCTCATATAGTCTGCTTCATAAAGACTGAAACTACAGCCACCAAAATGATGTACTATAAGGAACAAAGCCCACTCAACAGGTTCCAAATTCATTAAGTCTCAGTTATTTCAGACTAATATTAGGTATAAATAGCTCATATGTGGCATTCTTTCATGCAAAATAATGTGTCTACTTAAGATTTTTTAAAAACAATTTCTGTAAACTTTAAATACACAGCTGTTACAGGTTCTGAAGAATAGTTGAGTAAAATTTCCCCTTTCATTAAAATACACATTAACTTCTGCATAATATGGCGATGAGTCTGGTGCTCATTTGGAAAGGAAGAAGGTATTCTTTAGATGAGCTTGTGTTTTGAAGACTTTGTGAAAAGGAATAAGAAGTCAACATAATGGCTCTTCTGGTTTCCCTTTTTTGGCCCCGCCACAGAAAAGCTGGATGTAATAAAGTTGGAGGGAAAGAGAGAGAGAGAGAGAGACAGTTCCAGGGAGAGGGATGGGAAGCTAGTAGTCATCTGCTAAAAAAGAAGAAAATAATTTTTTTAAGGGAGAAATTTTTAAATAGAATGAAAGTTATAGATTTAAAAGTAATTAATTCTTACTTTCAATGGTGAGAATACAGGTACTAGCTGCAGAGCCTTTATTGTTGACCGCTTTACACATATACTCTCCTTCATCTTCTGGGAAAGTTTCTGGTAAATACAGGCAGTAAGTTTCTCCTCTTTCAATATATTGATAGTCTTCTCCATCCTGCAATATTTCTCCTTCAAACCACCATGTAATATCTGGTTTGGGTTCCCCTGTTACTTTAACAGTAAATCTAACTGGCTCACTGTCTACAACCGATGTATTTTTTAGAGGCTTCTTGAACCATGGAGCTCCTGCTCTGGTTTGTTCTTCATCTTCAATAGTGGAGCCATTCATGATGCTACTCTCTTCTTCCTCCTCCTCTTCTCTTTTCTATATTAAAATAAGTTCATTCAAGTTAAAATTTGTACTGTAATAGCCTTTTCAGGTTTAGTAACACTTTGAAGGGTGTGTATGTGTGTGTGTGTGCGCCAAAAGAACATGTAAGTATGCTTGCTTACTACTCCATAATATATTTTAAAAACATTTCAGTGACTTGAAAGCTGTTTGAAGTGTTTTTTTTTTAATCCCTATTATAAAACTGATTTTTAGAGAGCATCTTTGGAAAATAAAGGATATAGAAGTTTGGTACCTTTTGTAGTGCTGCATCAATTTCTTTTTGTTCAAACTGCATGCGTAGTAACTTTTGTTCTTCAATTCTTCTTTGTTCCTCCTCTTCTCTTGCCTTAGCCATTTGTTCAAATCTAGCTTTCATATTCACTTTATGAGTAAAGGGAGCCTCACTTTTTTTTGCAGGCTTGATATCAACATCTTCTTCCTTTATGAAAGTGGGCCAAGAATAAGAATTGCTTGTTTTCTAAAACCCAGCAAGAACTAATAAAGCACTAATAGTTCTGAAGGTGTCATTTAGCGGCAAAAAGTTATACATGTTTGGTGTAGATACTTGCGCTACACTGCAGACATGGAGATTTTCACTGTCCCCCAATTTGTGAATTCTCTTTATTGTAATCTTTTCTCCCAGTATACCACTGGAGTCCCAGTGTATTTGTGTATTTGCCCAACCAGTTCTCAGTGTTGTTGATAGTAGTGAATAAGAGAAAAGTGGGGGAATACTGTACTTTGTAACAATAATTAAAATACTCCCTTTCGCCCAAGAGTCTCCATATCATCACCCATCACCCTACTACATAATACAGAAAATGCAATTTGTTCTGTTAATTTCCACTTCATGATTTCCTTCCTCCCCCTTAGTTAACTTTGAGATGAATTCCACTCAAAGATGATTTGTTGACAGTCAAGTGGCAGAGAAGAGTGAAGGTAAAAATGGGAAGATAGCTGTTCAAAGGCAATGGCTGGATCTTGGGGAAATTAGTTCAAGTGTGGTTCTGAGTCATCTATTGAGGGGTGAGAGTTGGAAGCCATGGAAATAATTGGAATTTTAAGAGCAGAGCTCCATTTGTCAAGGTAGTATAAAAAAAACAATTTGGCGGTGCTGAGGTCAAAATGACACCCTTTGAGAGCAGTTTTTAGTAGTGTGGGGTCATGTTGGTTTTCTAAAGCACTTACATTGCAGTTGACTACTTAGGCTTTTTGTGGATTTCTCTGAAAATCACACCATTTATATTTCACAGTGCTTTCAGGAAACTGCCACATCCATAAATAAAGGAAATTTTGAAACTAAATTTAAATTGCCTATATAAGAAAAGTTCAAGGATGTTTTATATCAGTTTGAGGTATTTTTTGTACCTCAGTTCCAGTGAATGTAGGAAGTGTTAATAGTTCTGCTGAATAGTTTTTCTGGTTCTCTTGAATCAGATTTTTCTTAAATATTGGGTAATCCTAGAATATAGGCAAGCAGTTAACTTAGTAGGCAAATTCTATTATTTGTGCCATTATTTACCTTCAGTTGATAAAGTGCCTCACTACAGCTACTGCTAATGAGTAATGTTGGTAATGGTTTTTATTATCCTTACAGGCTAAAAGTATGTGTTAATTGTTTGCTTACTGCGCTTTATCTCAACAGACTTTTCTTAGGCTTTTAAGTGGAAAATAAGATCTCTTTGTTCATACTATACAGTTAATTTATTCTTTGCTTACCAAGTCTTAAAGATAGGCTATTTCAGCAAGCACAATAACTGCTGTTGTGGCCAAATCTCCCCGTTAACTTACCTTCTGGATTTTAGGAAAAAAGTTTGTGCAGATTCATAACTTGTTACTCATTTAGCTATTTCAAACCTGTCCTTGGAAAATAATTCAGCAAGTAAAAGCATTCCTCATAAGCTATGCTTATGTACAGTTTATGTACAGTCTTCAGTTAGTAAGTACAGGTTTTGCTTTTTCTTGATTGAGTCCCTGAAAAGCCAGGTTAATAATGTTACCAGAAAATGAATCCACTAGAGTCATGTCAAATGGGATGATCTTCATTCTCTGGGTGCATTCTTAATAGGGCATTGATATCCCTAGCACATGAATATCAAAAGTGAAACAGTCAGGAAGATAATAGGGAGAAGGAATGGTTTTGGACCTTACTGGAAATTCTATATACAGTCAAACACTATAAGGCAGTGTAGTAACTGAAGTACCAAATGAATGGTATGGATTAAGGGCTACAGGAGCTGGGATGGAATTATTTGATAAGGGAAGGTTATAAGAATGAGTAGGACCTGGAAAGATAGTGCAGTATCAACAGGATGTGTTGAACATTGAGATTTTCTTAAATAGTAAACCTCTGTCTGATCCTTGAATAACACCAGGCTTAGAGGTGTCAACCCCTAACTTTGTTTTGCTTTTGACTCCCCAGAAAATTAACTAATAGCCTACTGTTGACTAAAAACCTTATTGATAACAAAAGCAGTCAGTTAATGGGAGGAGGGTCCTACTCTAGAATTTGAACACACTAAATGCCAAAACTATGCCAACAGAATTTAAAAGGCTGTCTTAATGACCCTTAATCTAGAATGACAGGAAGTATGTCAACATCCTTCACAGTAAACTCCATTTAGGACATCCTTTTGGGTTTTAGGAGATCAGCCATATCCCAGTTTCATATCCTTTTATACAAAAAGAGAGCCAGTTAATAGTAATAAATCACCTACCTCATTTCTTTTATCTTACATAGTTTGTAAGGCTAGGTATGAAGGCTCTCGGTTCTTAACTACAAAAAGGGAAGCAAATGCATCCTGATTGAATTTTACTTTCTGTGATACATTTATTTCTCAAGATTATCAATAGATTGATGGTCATCCATTCATTAGATAGTGGTGATCTCTAGGGTTTTATCACTAACCTTCAAACTTTTAACTCTTCCAAGATGGATTTATCTACTTCTGTACTTTAAAATACTATCCATAAAAGTTAGAATGTACATGTGAGTCAACAAGGAATGTGGAAATAATAGTGGAGAAATTTGTTTATTTGAAGAGTCTTTCCTCCTTCCCACCTTTGTGCTTCTAACAAAAAACTTTCTGTTATTTGAAATGAATGCTCAAAATTACATGGGATAAATATGGTTTGTAAAGAGGGGAGACTTCTTGCTCAATTTTCAGAAATTCTCAGAAGGGGCTCTTACTCTTCATACTTGTGCTGGAGCCAGCTCTAGCTTGCTAGCTTAATGTCAGAGAAGCTTTTCAGTTACTGCTGGCTGGTAACATTTACATGATTATTGATATTTATATAAGAGATATAAAAAGCCTTCAGTGCATTACCAAGAGTGTGTCTAACCTAGGGATGGTGGGTGGAGGAATCCTGGAGATGAGATTCCCTCCTACTCCTTGCCTAATTTGGAGGACAGAAATGTGGTAAGTAAATCACTTGAAATTAAATGTTCTCAAAGTAGATTGTTGTTTGGAATTCTAGAAAGAGGCATTTTCTTGTTGACATCTACTTTACAATGAAAGCACATGCTTACAGTTAGAACCCTGAGGTACTCTACAATGTTGAAGTTCTCTATGAATCTTGTAATGAAGGTGACAAATTACTTTACAAACTTACTCATTTTAGTAACTGGTTACTCCTGTTTAGTGTAAGTAAGTGGCAGTGAAACTTATTAACCATAATACTGGATTAGTCAGAACAGGTTTATTAGTGACTGCCAAATAGAACAGTTAACCGTAAAATACTTTAATAGTAAATTTGAGAAGTGTTACTTAATACTTAATAATCCATGATTAGCAATGCATTTTATGGGCTAACATCCATTAGATAAAAATTAATTTTCTTAGATTAATGATACCAAAAAAAAAGTAATTTTCTGTTGCTTCTCAGGACCCGAATATATTACCTGACAATGACAATTCAATAAACATTTATTTAAAAAATAAATAGGTAAATAAATTTGCTGCTCAGAATTTTTTTGTATTGGGTCCGTTTTTCTTCCTTCATACCCAGCCTCATGCCTCGTGCCTGTCTTGGTTCATCCTCTGTGCTCCCAGAATTCTTTTATAAACATAAACCTTTCATTGTTGTGTCCTAAAACTGGTTATTAACATTGTTCTCAGGTCACTGTCCTTGCAAGGTTAAAAAGGCCCTTCAGCTAGGCGAGCCTAATTTAACAACTTTTTATCCTATCACCAATTATACTTACTGAATCGTGCTTTGAACCTACTTTCTACTCCCTAGAAAAATTTTTACGACCTTTGTGTTTACTCACGTTGTCCCTTTAATCTGGAATGTTTTCCCTCTCTAACTGCAATGCCTTATTCAACCTTCACACTCCGCTTAAATGTCATTTTCTCAGCCCTATTAAACCTCTCCTGGAATTTGATCCTATAATAGTAAATATATAACTCCTATTTTAGCATTTTAAAGTTTTAATGCTTCATCATTAGGATGAACTTCTTGATGGCATAATCACTTTTATGCACCCAAAACAACACAGGGTCCAATACAGAAGATGATAAACAGCAGTGATATTTGTTCTTGGCAGTGACAAAATAGTTTATCTACAACCGGGCACAGTTCAGAAGCACATCAGCTGGACTGATGGATATCTAGATGTTCCACTGCATGTCCATTTGTGTAAGAGAGCTTGTGACCTCTTCTTCTAAACTCCTGTATTTCCCTATTAAGAAATGTTCATGTATACCCAGTCATTTTTATTCTTGTCACCATACCCAAGTCTTCCCAGTTTTATATCCAATGTATTTGTCTTCTCCATTCCAGTCCTAGTTCAATAAGGCCTTCTTTAACCACCCTGTACACAATAGTATCCCATGCTCATCTCTTTTCACTTACCCTGCTTTGTTAATTTCCATAGTGTCTATTTACTATCCAATGATTGTTTTCCATCCCCCCTACCTGATAGATCCTAAATATATGAGCAAGAACTGCAGGTTTATTCACCAAGGTAGTCCTTGGGTCCAGAATCATCCTGGAACATAATAGGCATACAAGTAATTTCTTTAATATGTGAATCTTAAAACCATCTTTAGTTTTAGATCTAGCTATAAAGATGCCTTTCTGATACCACTCTTTTTTAAATCCCTTCAGTGCACTACTAAATAAATTTAATATGGCATTTGAGACCTGACCTTGACATGATCATCTCAACTGTGCTTGTTTCTTCATTATCTTTTGTTGTTGCACTCTGCTTGCCTCCGGGATAACTGCTTATGAAGTATCAAGAATTTGAACATAATTCATTCTTTTTTATTTAGTCTCTGAATGCCCTCCCAACTTCTGACACCTGTTTTATTAGTTAAATATTGATAAAAATGCTTATTTAGAAGACCATAGGTTAAATGCCGTTAAATATTAAAAAATGGCAATTCTGGCAGAAAAAAAATCTTCAGGTCCTATTTAAACTAGTAGTCATAGTCATGGAAATAGTCCTTAAGCTGGAAAGGGCATTGCAGGCCATCTAGTGCAGGCCCCTTTTGAAAGGGGGCTGTAGCTGTGGTGAGAAGTGCTTAAAAATCCTAGTGTTCAACGTGTGATGAGGTAGTTGATCATGTCATCTGGATTCTGATTTAGGCTCTGCACTGAGTTATTGGAATGACTTTGAGCAGATATACAGGCTTTCTTGGCCTCATCTTTAAATAAGAAAGTATTAAGTATATTTTAACTCTAATACACACTGGTGCTGCTGATCCAAGCTAAAATTTATGCTAGTACTTTTTAACTTCTTGCTATAGTGAACCATTTGATATTCACTATAGACTTTAATTCTGATAACAGTCTGGGAACAAATGTTAGAGTGGGGAAATCTTTCAGTCTCCATACTCTGCTATTAGTTTTTGCTATTTGGCTTCCAGAGTATTATATACACCTATTAATTAGCCATACTTATTTTTAAAGTTGGGTAATTTCTAAGTTTATTGTAATTGCTGTACTATAAATATGTTAACAAGTATACCTCATGAAAGTTTTCTGCTTCTCGCTCTTTAATTTCAAGGTCAACCGCTCTTCTTCTTGCTCGTTCTTCTTCTATCTTTCTCTGTATTTCTTTTTCAGACAGTTGTCCAATTTTTTCAAACTTGCTTTTTAGATTTTTAGCTTGAATAGAGCCACTCCTTTTCAATTTTATTAATTCTTCATATTCCCTGCTTAGTTCAAAGGTTTCATTTTCTTCCTCTTCCTTCAAAAAAATATTTTTATACAGTAAATACCAGATAATTGGTTTGTACAATAAACTACCCAAAAAGTGCTCATCATTTCTTATCTGAAGCCAAAAATAAACCTCCTCCCTGAACACAGTACCTAAATTTACTAATTAGTAGTGCTACACATTAAAGACAACATCCTGTTTAATTTACAGTATATTATTTCATTAGGGAATATGGCTCAGAACTTCATTTAACATTCCATTGTAACCTGCTAAAACATGTGTGTCCAGATTAGCTTTTACTACGAATTGTAGAAAGATCTTTGGAAGAAAGTGGAAAAATATTGAACACTGGGTTAGGAGTCAGATTAAGTTCTAGTTCTGACTGATAAATGTTTGGCCTTTTGCCTGATCACTTCTTGACCCACTGGACAAAAGTTTTTTCATTTCTATATAATAGAGGCAGAGTACCTAAAATCCCTCTTACCTTTGATTTGATAATTATAAAAAGCTAAATACTGTTTCCAATACTTAAATTAACAAGCAATTCTACAGATACAGTCATGTAAAATTATCACTTGTATTCTCAATTTTATATTCTGCCAAGAAAAGGAGTCAACCAAAATTGGGCTCCAATTCTTTGTATCATTTCATCTTAAATACATTTTATTCAGGTTCCTTTCCCTTAGCTTTTCACAATTTACTGTTAACTAGTTCTTTCTGTATTTCTTACCCTGCATCCTAATCTCGCTATATGGAGTGGTAAAATATCGCAGCTATTCCTGGTCTACTTTTCCTGGAAAGATCTAGTTGTTGGCAGAGGGGGAAAAATGTGTGGGAAGAGAGGTCCCAGTGCATAATGTGATACGAGGCTTATATCTGGGTTCAGCTAAGGAGAAAAGGCTAGTGCAAGGGAGTAAATATCTCCACAGGCCCACTGCCCCAACCATGACAAAGAGGCAACTTAGAAGAGGTAACAACCTCTGCATAGGGAGGGATCCGCTTGGCTCCTAGGTCAGGAGTTGGCAAGAAGCCCCCACTAAATTGCCTGTAGACATACTGTGTGTCACTGCCAGTATAAGGCTGGGATAGCCCCTGCTCACTTCACCAAAAGTCACAGGGCTGTACAATGATCCAAGGCCCTGCTCACATTGCTGCCAGTGCCCCCCGCCCCCAGCCCCCCAGCCAGAAGCTGAGGGTGACAGTGGAATGCCTGAGACTTCCTCCCTGTCCCTCTCTTCTGCCTGTGCAACTGTTTGGCTATCCGGATGGAGGACAGCAGCAGCAGGAAAAAGGGAAACAGGGCCTTGAGACATCAGGAGGTGGGAAGGGGGCTGCTGAGAAAGCACCGTGGGAAGGCAGGAAGACAGGAGGTATGGGTGAACCAAAAGACTTGCTCATGCTCCATTGTCCAATCAGCTTTTACTTAAAATAGGCAATTTCTAAGATAAAATTATTAAAAACTTCAAGATGGCAACCTCAGAGCACTAAGCCCTAAAGCAGGGCTGTTTGGAGCATGGAGTCCTGTGGGCATAAGTTGCACATCCATGAAGCTGGCTTTATACATTATACATGTATGTGTGTGTATACACAGATAAGCATACATGTATATACAATTACAATTCTAGAGGAATCAAAATAAACAGCATCAGACTTCTACATCTTAGAATAAATTAGTAAGATTCAAAGACTTGCCAAACTGATACTCCTATCAATATCAATGATACTCCTAGTTTTATCTTAATCAGTTTAATTCTGTTTGAAGGAAAATGATAAGTATAAATGGGTACCAAGTACTCTGTAACAGTTTTCAGTCATGATACAACCACATAACAACTGTGAGGTAAATAGGAAGAAATCTTTACTTAAGGTACTATAGTAATATCAGTCACTTAAAGTCATGTTTTTTTAACTAGCAAGGAAGGAAGAGAGTTGAACCAGGCTAGAAAGTGCACATAACCATGCTGAAACTTGTACCAAGTGCTTGTAAAGGACTATCTTCAGTGTCATTTTTGTTAATAATGCTTAGAAAGGTGTCCTAATGTAATTCATGTAAATTACTCAGATTAATATAGAACATTTTAAAATCTTACCTCTCCCATTTCTTGTCTCAGTTGTTCAAACTCCTGTTTTTCCATCTCTAGCTTATGCTTCCGTTCCTCCTCTGTTCGTCGTTTTTCTTCTTCCATTTTTTGTTTTAATAATTCTTCAAAATTAATTTCCAGTTTTCCCGGTGTGAGAGATTCTTGAGAGATTGTTTTATACATCTCAGGGAAGTCGTCATCTACTACCTATTTAAAGTAAGTCTTTTTGTCATTCTTGCCAGAATTATTATTATTAAGGAATATTTCTTGTAGAAATTGATTACTTGAGTAGAAGGGTTTCTACTACTATAAAAACCAGACCTAAATCTCTTCAAAAGTAAAACAATACATGAGAGAGAAATTATCAGGAAATGGTTAAGACCAAGGTATTGTGGTTACAGAGGAAATGGTGAACATCTATTATTCTCCATTCTAATGAGAACACAAAGAAATACTTCAATTTTATACCATGAATAATTTGAATTAGACATTAGGATTTTCTAATACTGAAGACTTTTTTAGTTGGGTTAAAATGAATCTCCATTATGCTAATTAAAATAGAATATTTCAGTTAAATCATGGTTTTATCTGAATGAATTAGGTAACATCATGATCAGTTTATAATTAGGCAAAAATCATTCTTAATGCCATAATTTTATTGTAATGACTTACTGTTAGGTTATCTAAAAATTAATAGTTTAAACTTAGCCAGGTCCAATTCCGCGCACTTTACACGTTTTGACTTATTTAATCCTGTAACCCTATGAAGTAGTTGTTATTAATATTTCCATTTTATAGTTCAGGAAATTGCACTGAAAAAGTAAGTTGTCAACACATGCTAAGTGGCAAAGGGAGGACTCAAATTTCAAAACTCCAATAAAATTATGATTTACTACCTTTTTGTAATTTCAAGAACTACGTGGCTCACTGCCATTTATTGTGACCTTGGGCAAGTTACCTACTTTCTCTGAGTTTTCTTGTTACGATACCTTTCATATAGTTGTCATGAGATTTAAAGCTTGGAAACACTTAGCAATGTGCCTGACAGTATAGTAAGCTCCCAAATGACACTTTTATTATTACATTATCATTCCCTGTGTATAGACAGTCCCTAAGTTGCAAATAGAAACTTTGCGTTTCATATTGTGGGAAAAGATGGTGGAGTAGAAAGGCAAGGCAGAAACTCCTCCCACATACATACCAAGGAAGCAACTATAGCAAATACAACTAACCCTGAAAACAACCTGAAGACTGCAGACTGTCTACACCTTGTGAAGAAGGGAAGATTACACAAAGATGGGCAAAGTGGCAGGGTTGTGATTGATCGGGACCCAAGCCCTTCCCCAGTCCCAGCCCACAAGTGGGAGGAGGAATGGAGTGGGGAGGGGATAAGCACTGAGGATTCCTGCATACTTGGCCTGGAGATCTGCTCTGGGAACACAAGTTCATATTGCTTTGGGATTTGTTGATTAACAGAGCTGGATACCAGGGAGAGTTGTAGCACTCTGGGGAGGCTGAGTCCTGCTGCTTGGGAAGGACAAGCATTCTCCATGGATCCTGCTGAGTCCCAACACAGAGGACAGTTTGAAAGTTATGCCAGAAATGGGAAGTGTGCCAGAGGGCTGGTGGTTGGAGGAAGCTCTTTCCAGAGGAGAAAGAGCAGGTGGATGGTGCTCCCCCAGCCTTCCCTCAGCTCAACTGATTGGGTGCTCTTGGAAACCAACTACAAATACTCCATCTACCTCACTGGCAGCTCAGCCCCATGGTAGCTCTTCCCTATGCACCCACCTACCCAACCAGTCAGCACAGCCCATCAATGATGAAACTTTTTTGACTGGCAGGTGGAGATTTCCCCCCAACTTTCCCAGTGATCTCAGCCCAACTGGTAAGGTGCCTGTGGGGGGTAGCTCCAGATGCTCCTTTTCCACTGGGGGCTCAGCCCCTAGCAGTGCTCCCCTTTGCACCCTGCCCCAGTTGCCCTACCGGCCCAGCAGTGCCACCATTGCTGCTTGACAGAGGGCAGCCTTGCCCACAGTGATCCCAGCAGGAATGCCTTTGTGGCTCACAAAGGGCACAGAGGGAGCTGTTAGCTGCTGCCAGCGGACAGAAAGGTGGCCCCACTCACAGCCCACCAACAGCAGCTGCAGCTCCATCTCAAAAAAGAACCAGGCACTGGTGAGCAGAGAGTCTTGAGTTTCTGGGCATCACAGGACACCTTCATAAAACAATTACTCTCTAGACCAGGAGGCATAGCAGATCTATCTAATACAAAGGAAGAAAAATAAACACTGACAAAATGAAGTACAGGAATATGTTCCAAACAGAACAAGTTACCAGAAAGAGGGATAAATGGAGATTACCAATCTTCTCAGTAAACATTTCAAAATAACAGTCATAAAGATGCTCACTGACCTAGGGAAAAGAATTGATGTTCTCAGTGAGAACTTCAAGAAGTGATAGAAAATCTGAAAAACTGCCACTCAGAGCTGAAGAATACAATAACTGAAATGAAAAGTACAATGGAGGGAGTGAATAGTAGATTGTTGGAGGTCAAGGAGACAATAAATAAGATTAAATTAGAGAACAGAAAAATGAAACTGAGGAACAGGGAAAATAAAAAATTCCTTAAAATGTGAGGATGCTAAGAGACCTGTGTGACAACTCCAAATTAAACAGTATTCACATAATAGAGGCTGCAGGAGAAGAGAGAGACAAAAGAATAGAAAGTCTTTTTGAAGAAATAATAGCTGAAAACTTCCCCAATCTTGAGAAGGAAATAAACATCCAGGTCCTAGAAGCGTAGACTGCCCCTAACAAAAGGAACACCAGGAGGACAACACCAAAACATACAGTAATTAAAATGGCAAAGAGTAAAGATGAAGAGAGAATCTTAAAAGCAGCAAGAGACGCATGCAAACAGTTACTATAAAGGAAACTCCATAAGGCTACCAGCAGACTTCTCCACATAAACTTTACAGGCCAGAAGAAAGACATGAGTAATGTGTAGAAAGAGAAGAATCTACAACCTAGAATCCTGTAGCCAGCAAGACAATCATTCAGAATTGAAGGAGAGATTAAAAGTTTCCCAGATAAATGAAAGTTACAAGAATTCACCACCAGTAAACTGGAAGTTAAAAGAACCTCTGTAGATGGAAATGTTATTAAGCCTAAATATGGTTCAACAGTGAAAGTAAACATACAGTAAAGGTAGTAGACCAATTACTTACAAAGCAAATGTGAAGTTAAAAAACAAAAGTAGTAAACTCAACTATGCACAGAATCAGTCGAGATAACACCAAAGATGTATATTATACATAAAGCATGGAGGAGGAGGAATAAAAATGCAGTATTTTTAGATTGTGTTTGAAATATAGCAACCATCAATTTAATACATACTGCTATATAGTTAGGAAACTATGAAACTTACGGTAACGGGAGCACAGATACAAAAAGACAGGCAAAAATTTTAAAGAAACCAACCACAACACTAAAGAAGACCATCAAATAACAAGAGAATTGTATGAGAGGAAGAAAGGAACAGGAACTACAAAAGCAACCAGAAATCAATAAAATGGAAATAAGTACATACATATACTACCTTAATATAATATAATATATTATATTATATTATATAATACTATAAATGACTGAATGCATCAATCAAAACACATAGGGGGTGGAATGATTAAAGAAACAAGACCCATCTATATGCTGCCCACAAGACACTCATTTCATTTCAGACTGAAAGTGAAGGGATGGAAAAATCATGCAAATAAAAGGGAGAAAAAGCAGGAATAACAGTACTTATATCTCACCCAAAAGCAGCAGGATACATACTTTTTTCAAGTGCACATCGAACATTTTCCAGGATAGATCACATATTAGCACACAAAAGAGCCTCAATAAATTCAAAAAGATGGAAATCATATCTTTTCAGATCACAATGGTATGAAACTACAAATCAATTACATGAGGAAAACAAAAAATACCAACATATTTAAGCTAAACAAAATGTTTCTAAATAGTCAATAGATCAATGAACAAATCAAAGAAGAACTCAAGCAATACACAGAGACAAATGAGAACATAAAACAACAGTTCAGATACGTTGGTTGCCATAAAAGTGGTTCTAAAGAGGGATATACATAGGCATACAGGCCTACCTCAAGAAACAATCCCACATAAAGAATTGAAACTCACAACTAAAGAAACTAGAAAAAGAACAAATGAAACCCAAAGTCAGTAGAAGGAAGGACATAATAAAGATCAGAACACAAATAAAATAGAGAAAGAAAACAATGGAAAAAATGAAACCAAGAGCTGGTTCTTTGAGAAGATAAAACAAAATAGACACACCCCTATCCAGACTTATCAAGAAGAAAAAGAGGCACAAATAAAATCAGAAATGAAAAAGGAGAAATTATACATGACATCACAGAAATACAAAGAATTAGGGAATTCTATGAAAAATTGTATGCCAATGAACTGGGTAACCTACAAGAAATGGACAAATTCCTAGAAAAGTATAACCATCCAAGACTGACCCAGAAAGAAACAATCTGAACAGACCAATTACCAGCAATGAAATTGAATAGGTTATCAAACCTCCCATAAAACAAAAATCCAGGTCCAGATGGCTTCACAGCCGAATTTTACCAAACATTTCAAGAAGAGCTAATACCCATTCTTTTTAAAATGTTCCAAAAAGTAGAAGAGGAGGGAATACTTACACACTCATTCTATGAGGCCAGCATCCCTCTAATGCCAAAACCAGACAAAGGCAATATAAAAAAGAAAATAATAGACTAATATCCCTGATGTACATAGGTGCAAAGATCCTTAACAAAACATTAGCAAACCAAATTCAAAAATACATTAAAAGGATTATCTATCATGGCCAAGTGGAATTTATTCAAGGATACAATGGTGGTACAATATTCATAAATCAATCAATGTGATATACCACATTAACAAAAAAAGAATAAAAACCTTATGATCATCTCAATAAACACTGAAAAATCATTTGAAAAACATGACAAAAACTCTTAAAATGGGTATAGAGGGAACATACCTCAACATTATCAAGATCATGTACAAAAACCCATAGCTGACTTCTTTGGGAAGATGGCAGTGTGAGTAGGGCAGCGGAAATCTCCCAAAACCATATATATTTTGGAAAATACAACAAACAAAACTAAGCCTAACAG